ATATAAGGATGATGATGCTGTTTCGAAGTAACCTTCTGATATAAATATAGAAATACCCAATTTAAATTGTTATGAGAACATAAACTTAATTATCTTTTATCGCTTAATAGGTTATACTTCTTTCTAATGATATTTTAGTTAACATTTCCCACGTAACCCGAAGAAAGACGGAAAAAAAATTGGCAATGCCAACATAAAAACACGACACCATCTATAAAGCAATTCCGCCTTTCTTCGCGACCAGCGATAACGGTATAAACCGATGAACATTATTTCCCCATCTCCTCCCAATTCCCCCTAAAATGTTCATTAATGGTTCCGGTTTATGCGACATTAAAATAAAAGTGAGAGAGGAAAAAAACAAGCAGAAAAATATGCTCAAACATTGCATTCAATGTTAAATGCGTGCATTGCACTGCCCAGATACAAATGTATCTGTAGATGGGCATGTATAGGGGCACAGACACAGATGGAGATGCAGTGCTGGCTGTAGATACAACTAGAAATGCGTAGACTAGTTTGAAATTTACATGGCCGACGCATGAGTCAGTGGGCTACGAAATTTCTCAGACAAAATCTGTTTGAGTTTTCTGTATCTAGAGAAATTTTCGCGAAGAAAACAAATGCGCACTTAGAATTTTGGCACAAATTTTGATTAAATTAACCTTCCATTTTCGGAAAGGTTGTTCTGCAGTCTTGACTAACAACTGATTGTTTTTCATTATTTAAAATAATTCTAGTATATTTTAAATGGGTAATTTATTTAGGTGGTCAATGAACTCAATCTGGAACTCCTTGGAAAAAGTATTTGCGAAGCCGTAAAAAAATGTTTATTTTTACTTCATTGTTGGTTTGGTGTCAGCTTTTTTCTCATGCAAACGGATATCCATCTGATATTTTATTCTGTTTATTTTCTGAATCTCCGCATATGTTAAGATATGTTTTTTTGTCAAGTAACTCCCTTGTAGACTAATCAGTAAAATATTTGTTAACTTGTTATATTTAACAAGTCGCGTAGGTCTCAACTGGGTCACCTTTTGGCTTATCAATGTACATATAAAAAATAATAATGAAATAAGTAGGAATGCAAGGTTAACTGGACAATAGCGATTGTTTAAATACCTTAACAAAAGAACTGAGATCGAAATTCATTTCAAATTTAAGGAATTGATAGGCCCGTATAAAAATTAAAACCTAAAATTATAATGTCCTTCAAATTTATTAAAAGAAATTTAAGTTTGTGAGTTAAAAAATCCATTAACACTTGTATAACATATGTAAGTTCTATTGTAAATTAAGTTATATTAATTGCCAGTTTGAAAATATTTTTTGCTCAAAAAACTTTTTACTTTTAAATCGTTATAAATGAAAAGACACGCTTTATTCAAGGGTATTAAGCACAGATTATCATTAATAAACCTTACATATATTTGTATAATTATATAGACTCATGTTTAAATATAAATTACAACAGACTTACTGCGAACACGATTGTAAAATAGGAACACAAAAACTCACATCAAAAATAATCAACAGGAAAATGCTTTTGAAAATTTTCCACCCCAACCTGCGTTTTATATGCGCAAAATAAAGATCACAAAAGTTCAATGGGTTTATCGGCTGCCCTCTTACAATTTTAGCTGAATATTGTAGTAGTATTTTGTAGTATTTTACGTCAATTAAAGGATTTGTTCTTATTATTGTAGGAAACACGTGCCTGACCAAGTGACTTGAAGCGGAAAATACTTGGTCAGTTAAAATTTATTTATTTTAATTTATTTATTTTATTTATAAACCTTTATAACTGGTCGCTTGAAAAGGTTTTATGGAATTGCAAAAAGTACAACAAAAGTGAAGCAAATATTTCCGGCGATAATGGTTGCGAACCTTATCTGATCAGTTAACGCCCACTAATCAAGCGGATTGTAAATTAATCAAAAACAAACCAAAAATAAACTTTCCGCTAAGTTGATTTTCCTTAACTTTTGCGGTTTGTTGCAAGTATTTTTCAACGCCTACACAGGTTTTCGGGAAACGACACTTGACTACAAAATGAAAAAACTTAAGCATATTGTATTTACACTAAATATTTAATAAACTATTGTTATTATACAATTTTTTTATATGATGCTGATAAATAATTTTATCGTAATCATGTATTCCCACCCACAGGCAACTCTTTTAAAAAATTAAGTTAATCTCAAATAAAATAAATTTTAAGAAATATCCAAACAATATTATTATTTAAGTGAAATTTTCTATATATTTTATATTTGGCGAATAACAGCCAGCTATATATTCAATTTAAAATTTTAATAGGTTCTAATTTTAATTTTAATTATTTTACCTCGGTTGGTAATATTATTTCTGTGTGTAGGAGTAAATTAAACTCAGCGAGCTTGTAACTTAATTTTACGGTTGCTCAGATTTTTCTTTGGTCCGCAATTTTTCTCTTTTATATTTTCCAACAGACATTAGCTCTTATAATCGTGCGTTGATTAAGAACAAATTTGTTTTGTGGCGCTGCGGAGGGAGATTAATTTGTTGTTGCCAGCCGGTCGTGCGACCAACTAAAATAGCAAATAAATTCCTGCCGTCTCCCTTCCTCTTCTTGTCTTCAATGTTAAGTTCAATGACTAAATTTAAAATTTGTATTCTTTTTACTTTACTTTTCGTTGGTTCTCCTCGAGAATCACCGGACAAGGTTTAATCAGCCCGATTGTCTGTTATCAGCTCTATATGCTATGATGGCCTAGTTTCTTCATCGTTTTTCTGGAAGATGGTGCAAATGGGAGGTGCAGAGGTGTGATCCCAGGGGGAAGGTCAATTAATAAATTTAATAATCATGAATAATGCATATGAAACGGAGCCACATAAGCGGGGAAAGTCTGGCTTGAGAATTTTAATAAATTGGTTGGGAATTATTATAGTTTATTTTAAATTGATACAAAACAAAATTAATAAATTTATAACTGCAATATAAAGTGTATATAGATCGATTTTTTTGTATTTATTTTATTCACAAGATAATCGAGCTCAATATTTATTTATTTTATTTTGATTTAATTTGATTTTTATTTATTTTCGCACATTTCGTTAAATTGCTTTCGCTGATACACTCTGGCAAGCTGTGTTGGTGGTCTTAGACTGCCGAATTTTAAGTATTTATTAAATACGCCATAATTGCGAAGTCTTTTGTGAGATTGCAGTAATGTCGGACCAAAGCAAGTGGACCTTAAAATTGACATATACCTGTTGCACCTGCTGATCGACTGATCGGTTAAATGATCAGGCCTAGTTCCGCTTGGGGGGTCAGCAGATCAGCGATCAAAGGCTTTAAATAGATTCCCAAGGGCTTACCGAATTCTGAGTTGTATTTTTAGATGGAACTTTGCCTTCCGGATTTTGTTATTGAACGGCAAGCGATCACGCCCACCTAATCAGGGCCGATAATCGCGTTAGCCCAGCAAAATCCCCAAGATTCGCAGAGCCCGGGTTTCCAGGCCCTAATCGGGACTCAGGTCTGTCGTTGGCGCCGCTGTCAAACAGGCTGGAAAAAGTCGCTCACGTTGCTCGGATTCCCGGGCATATAGTATGACCACTATCAGTCAATTTAACGATTTCGAATTTAGATTTCTGGGCAGGCTGGGGGCGATTAGTTAACATTTGTTTTCAGCGTGTCCAGCTATGGCAAAAAGGCCCAGAGCCCGAGACAGATGAGATAATTATTGCCGCCTGCACAAACACACACCCTCCTTTTGCGCCTAGTTTGTATTGATATTTATAGACAAGGTTTATGGGTCTGTTGTGCCCACCTCCTCCGATCTGGGATTATTATACCCGCCGGACTCTGCCTGCTCGAAGGCCTCGAATGTTGCTCCGAAAACTGCCGAGATCGGCTTTATTTCAATCGAGGCGATAGGCGGTGCAGGTGGATCCCAAGTGGGGTTCAAAGGGGTGTGTTTTGGTGGGCGTTCAGGTCCCAGGTCCCGATTGCCCGATAAGAGCAACAAATGTGTTTAGATAACGGACGATGACAGACAGAATGTTGGCACAAACAAATTATGCAGCAACTTTTGAGCTTTCCTTATTATCGCATTCCTTTTTTTTGAAATGTGGAAAAGACGTAATAATTATAATAACATTTTTGCACGTAATGTCAAACATTCCCAAACTAGTCTATTGGAATATTAAGGATTTTCAGGATGTACATTATTAGATAGTTGTAATATACACAGAGAGAATTTTTCAAGAAGACTGACGTTCTCAAATTAAGTATTTGTATTCTCAATTTGAGGAAGTACTGATTTTGTGGACAACTTTTGAAAAAAAAGCCTAATACTTTAATCTTATTGTTTATCCCTTATTTGTCCCCGTTTTTTGAGAAAAAAATCTCGAAAAATGACTTAATTCCATGGTATATTATTTTAAAATTTTGTACTCAAAGTGAGTATTTTTACTTAAAGTGAGTACTTGGTTATATTTTGAGTAAAAAATTCTCAATTTGAGTGCAACGTTCATGAAAAATTCTATCTGTGTACCAAACACCATTATGACATTTTTGTAAAGACAAAAACGTTTGAAAGTAGATAACAAAAATATAATGATTGAAGATATGCTGTTAACCAATTAATTTCCTTCTAAATAACTTTATTTAACTATGTTTAATTGAATAAGTATTTATTTATGGACCGATAAACATATGTTACGTATAGGACGCCATTTAATTTTGTGTAAAGTATTTATCTATGGACAATAGCGATAAACATATGTTACGTTTAGGAAGCCATTTAATTTTGTGTATTATTTTAAATTATTAAATAATATAAATTTAAATAAAAGGTAAACGATTTTTTTCTATTCAATTGGCGCCAAATATTTCAAAATGTTTCTTACATCACATTTTACTTTACCTTCTTCATGTAAAATCGCTGCAATTACTACAGAGTGACCGAACTCCCTGCAAAATATCGACATTACCGATGTTTGCATCCATGTTTCTCCACCTCTATTAAAAACAAAACAAGCAAAAAATTAATTATTTAGCTTAGAAAATCCCCAAACCTAAGGACAGCAGCAGCAACATGGTAAGTGACCAATAATTCACTAAACAACCCCAGGAAAACACCAATTTAGCCGCTGCTCGGTTTGCAATCTTCGGGTTTATTTAGACACTGATATTAAGTAGAGGACTTCAACTTTGGCTGTTCACACATTTTGAAGGGAAAACGAGACGTGGGAGTTTTAGTAGTCCGGCAGGATCGGAGGTTCCGGCGACCTCTTGCCGCCCCACGAGTGGAACCGCTGCTTCTTGCCCAGGACCACGGAGTTGCGCTTCTCGTCGCGCTGCAACTGCGACTTGATGCGGCATCTCTCGATGACGGCATCTCGGATGATGGAGGAGAACTCCGCGTCGCCGAACTGGGCCATCAGGAGGCGGAAGAAGGCCCAGATCTCGCCCCGCTGGGAGGTGGGCGGTGGGGCGTAGTGCCGGAAGAGCCATCCCTCCGAATCCGCATCCTGACCACTCGGCCGCGCGTTGTAGGCATCGCACACATCCTCGAAGCTCAGGATCGCCTGCAGGATGAACCTGCGGTACTTGGAGAGCTGCAGCTCGCAGGTTCCCAACTCCGAATCCGGTCCAGAAATCGGAGAGGGCAGACTAGCGCCGTAGATCTCACGGCCCAGGGCCAGGAACAACATCCACAGGACTATCTTGGCCATCTTCACCAGCGGTTTGAGCCGTCTTAATCCTCTCGGCCAACTGCGTTGTTTGGCGTCCCGAAACGCTGCTTATATAGCCACTCTGAAGCCGATCCGTAGACCCAGTCACCACCACTGCCCACCCACCAACTTTGAAGTCCATAAAATAATTATAAAACGTTTGTCGTTCGCATTTTCTAAGCCGTTACACACGTCGCTAAATAAATACGAGTGCGTATTAATAAGCGTCCCTACGTTTTCCACACTTTTCCACGCTTTCCCCCCCAGACAATGGCAACAAGTGTCATAAATTTTCACTCGCTTAGCTCGCTTTTCCCCGCCCGAACTTGAGTTTATTAATCCTGCCCAGAGATAAACGTGACGTGCACTTGAAACTGAGACGAGCTCCCCAAACGAGCCTTCCTTATATGGGAGACTCGTCCCCGGAAAATTAAGTTCCACCCCGTTCAACCACCCACCCACATTTCGCTCACCCCTTTTTTGTGCTCGCCACTTGTACAAATTGCTCGCTGATTAGCAGGCAAGCGTATGAAATTAATCATATGCAAATATCGTCGACTTTTCTTTTCCTTGACGCGACGTTGTTGCTGTCGTGGGAGTTCTTGGGATCTAGTGTTATCCCTAAAGGGTATCATTAGTTCGCAGGCAAGTTCGCCGCTCGCGTGAGTCTCGCATTGTTGACCCAAATTTGGCTAATTAGCTGTCTGGCCGTCCTTTTGTAGGAAATATGGAAATATAAAAAAATAGTTGCATATTAAAAAAATTACCTTTAAAAATTTTGTTTTATATCTATTTAAGAAACAGTTTTTTTTTAAAATAAATCTTTTGTGGATAATTAACGAATAATTTAAAAAAAAATTGTATTTCACAATATTAAACTGATGTAGCTTACCAGCTTGCAAGTCATTTTTTTAAATGAATTTTTCAAGTAAGAAGTACATCAATAATAAAGTACTTTAAATTTTTTTAATGTTAAGTATCGACATTCTTGGTAAATTAAACTAAAATCAAATCAGGAGAAAGGAAGTCTAGTAAATGATATTTTCAAGGGTATTCGCAACTCCCACGAACCTCTCTTTATGCTTTCTTTAAGAGTTCTTCATTTGGCTCAAGCCCACTTGTTGAAGCGTTCTGGTCTTTAATTTACTTGGAAACGTGATGGGCTCACTTGGCTGTGGGCGTTTTTCCTAGAACCCAAAGTAGGAAGAACTTAAATTATTCTCCCCTTTTTGCCAATTATACCTAAATTTCACTTGACCTTTATAGAAATTCCGCTTCTGTGGCGAAGGCGATTGTCCCGACTGGGTTTTAGCTGAGATCATATCCACTCTCTCCAATTTGACCATTGAAAACTTGGAACAACTCAGCGATCTGGTGGCCCTGCGAATTTGTGGACAGACATTTGAGGTTTGTAAATATTGGTACATAAATATGTGAAAATATTAATAAAAGGTTATTTTTGCAGGAATCGAAAATAAAAGCGTTGACATCCACACTTACTAATGAGGGTAAAACCGCTGTGGCCTGCATACATTTTATGCTAACCAACGCAGCTCGCTATAGCTGCACCGAAAGTATTTTTGGAGAAGAGATTCAGCAATTGGGACTTCCTAAGGATCATGCTGCAGCCATGTGCAGAGTCCTACAAAAGCATTCCGCTGCCATTCGCCAAACGCTAATAGATAAAGCATTCAAAAGTGGGTTGAACTAATATATTTATACACATATCAATTTGACTTCGAATTTAAATTTTGGAATCAACAAACAACCTTTAAGTTCAAGATTCAGAGCATGGATAAATATATTTATAACTATAATTAATTTTCAGCCATATTTAATAACTTTATTACTTTTTAGTTAACGAACTGCAAAGCGTTCGCAATATAACTACGCCTGGACGAATGCCCCCGAATTATACCACCTTGGAACTAAAAATCTCGCAAGAATTGGTCGATGGCCTGCCAAAGGACACCACTCATGTTATCAACATCGATCGCGCCCAAGTAAAAGCTCTGCTGGCGGAGCTGAAATTGGCACGCGACGTAATGCAGAAATATGAGAATAAACCAGATTCCTAAATATGCATTATAACCATTTGAGTTTTCAAATACTTATTGGAATATTTGCTCAATTTAAAAGACCCTGTTTTTCACCATACTAAGGCACCAAGAGAATGGTTTGTGTCGTAAAATTTCCACAACCTTTTAAAGACAACACATAAAAACGATAAACAAGGAACTACCCGCGGTTGGCCTTAAAAAGCGCCATCTATCGGTGAAGATAGTGATTGGCGCGGCTAAGTTACCGAGGACTCCTCAATGTTAACGTAATAACATCCTCTTTGTGGATCTTATCTTATGAGAATAAACCAGATTCCTAAATGTGCACTAAAACCATTTGAGTTTTCAAATACTTATTGGAATATTTGCTCAATTTAAAAGACCCTGTTTTTCACCATACTAAGGCACCAAGAAAATGGTTTGTGTCGGAAAAAGATCCACTACTTTTTGAAGAAAATACATAAAAAAACGATAAACAAGGAACTACCCGCAGTTGGCCTTAAAAAGCGCCATCTATCGGTGAAGGATAGTGATTGTCGCGGCTAAGTTAGCGAGGACTCCTCAATGCTAACGTAATAACATCCACTTTGTGGATCTTTTCTTATGAGAATAAACCAGATTCGTAAATGTGCATTAAAACCATTTGAGTTTTCAGTTACTTGTTAGAATATTTGCTCAATTTTAAAGACCCTGTTTTTCAACATACTAAGGCACCAAGAAAATGGTTTGTGTCGGAAAAAGATCCACTACTTTTTGAAGAAGATACATAAAAAAACGATAAACAAGGAACTACCCGCAGTTGGCCTTAAAAAGCGCCATCTATCGGTGAAGGATAGTGATTGTCGCGGCTAAGTTAGCGAGGACTCCTCAATGCTAACGTAATAACATCCACTTTGTGGATCTTTTCTTATGAGAATAAACCAGATTCGTAAATGTGCATTAAAACCATTTGAGTTTTCAATTACTTGTTAGAATATTTGCTCAATTTTAAAGACCCTGTTTTTCACCATACTAAGGCACCAAGGAAATGGTTTGTGTCGTAAAATTTTCACAACTTTTGAAGAAAACACATAAAAAAGATAAACAAGGAACTACCTTAAAAAGCGCCATCTATCGGTGAAGGATAGTTATTGTCGCGAGGACTCCTCAATGCTAACGTAATAACATCCTCGTTGTGGATCTTATGTGGTTCCTGTGTGGAGTACGTTCTTACTCTACATTTTACTTTACTTTACTTTTTACAAGTAGTATTTAACATGAGGATCGCATGTTAATTTGGGTAAAATTTGGGTCCCTTTTAAGTTGATCAACACTGAAATTCAAAATTATGGCGCGAAGCCTTAAAAGAGATTGCAGTGACACCCCCTTACATACATTGTTTTATGAAACGAAAAACATTATTTTAAACCAAAAAATTATGTAATTTGTATTAAAATCAAAATCTTCAAACCTCAACTAAATCCTTAACTTTTCTCAATAAAATCAGTAACGGAAAGCAACAAACTGTTAAAACCCGGAACGTAACACAGCGTTGAGTACGTAATCAAATTCCCATTCGATTGGATATCCAAAAAATAACGTATATAATTTAAATTGTAATGAAGTTATGATGAATACTGGGTGAAATGATGATAAAATTGTGATGAATTGATTTTGAAATAATCTTAAAAACAAGAAAGGAACTTATCTTCGGCCAGCCGAAGTTTATATACTCTTGTAGGTACTTAAAATGTTGTTTTTAAAATGTCAAAAATCAAAATTTAATACACTCTGCAAGGGTATAAAAAGTCAAGCAATTTGTTTTATATTGAATTTTATGTTTTGGACTACTTTTTGTGTTACTTGAATACTGGGCCTAATTGAAAAATCTCAGCCATAAATGTCATGAAAGGCCAACCACAGATTTAACCCTTTTCGCTAAATTTTTAACCCAAATGAGAGCACTCACATCGTTTGAAATGCTCCATGAACTGTGTCAAATTTAATAAACTGGCCTGCAGCATTTTTAGTGTCCATGCAGCCTGATTATTAATTATAGCATAACGTGCGGCGTAAATAAAGTGAAATTTGTTAATAAAAGGCCCGGAAAAAGTAACCCTTTTCGTGGAATCGGGGTTCACCTTGCTCCTGTTTTCCACATTTGCTTATCATCCGCTTTGGCCACGGCAATTACCGTCGCATCCTTTGGCCATCTCTCTGCTTCCGGTTATTAAAATTATCTGCAGTGGCCAAAGGGAGGTGGAAAAAACGTAGAAAATTTCAATTAAAAGTATACAAAAAATAGGAATAAATTAATTTCACTTGCTTGCTCTTTCTTTCTTTGGTGGATTTTCTAATTATGAGCTTTGGCTGCAGCAGCTGCGGAGGTTAAAAGTTGCCTTCTTTTTTATAGCAAATTTTGTTGTATTATTTTTTCAATTAAACTTGACCATGTCAAAAGTGAAAAAAGACGGAGAGAAGTCCGCGACATTTTTTGATTGCTGCGTTTTGTTTTTTTTTGGTTTATTTTCCCCATTTTTTCATTTTATTTTCTGAATTTTTTCTGCTTTTGGCCACATGTTGCTGACACTTGCAGCAGTCGCTGGGATCCTACTTTCCATCGCTCTCGAAATTTTTATTCCACTTGGAACTTTGATTTATGATGCCCAAGGAAAGAAACTCAGCACCGCCCCCTTTGGCATTGTCACCTGTTCTTTAATTAAATTTTCCTCAAGGTCTCAATGAACTGCTGCATTGATTTCTGGCCCTCTCTCCAGCAGGGTGCAAATATCATATCCGAAGGTAAATAAATGTTCCACGTAGCTCTGTTCCAATTACCCCGGCAACTATTTACTCAGCATTTAGTTGGCGGTGCCTCGTTCTCATTTCCGACCTTCGTTCGCGCAAAATGATATCTAAACATTCGTCGGTATGGGTGTTTGGCGCAAAATTCGTGTAAACAAGGCGGCAATGTCAACAGAAATGGTTCACATAATATGGTAAGGAGGTGAGGTAATTGGGGGAGGACCGGTCGGCAGAAACTTGTCTGTCAAGAGGAGTGGGTAGATGCCCAGAAAGGGTGGATTTAGCAGTTTTTAAAGTTAAAAACAAAAAATAATAATTCGAAATAATTAGTTTTAACAAGAAAGGAAGTTAACTTCGGCCAACCGAAGTTTATTGTATAGTCTATTGATGCTGATCAAGAATATATATACTTTATGTGGTCGGAAACGTCTCCATCTGACTGAAATAATATAATACCCTCTGCAAGGGTTCACACACTTTAATTTTATAAATAATCTTATTTGTAAATTAAAAGTCTTGCTATTCTCATATTTAGCAAAGAATTTTAAAACCAATTTTTTTATGAAAGCTCTCAGGTTTAACACAGGTAAAAGAAACATAGAAAAATTGTAAAAACTTTTTAATAGCACCTTTAAAATTACAAGAGGAGTTTCAATGAGTTCGGGTCAGAAAATAATAAATGTGCAATATAACCGGACAGGAAAATATTAAATTTCTTTGATCCGATCGGTAATCTTAAATAATGTTTATACAATCCAATTCTATGTAAGTTAGGACCGACCCTCGTTGGCATGCCTTGCCAACCTGGGATACCGCAACCCACAACTGATTCCGTCTGGCAACGCCCAAACATGTGTAGCGTTATGTCAGCAGAACCCACCCACCGATCCGGAACGGAACCCACATCCCCACCTCCGCAACCATCCTAAACATCCTAAGCATCCTGCAAAAGGCTGTCGCATTACGCGCCTGTTACCATATCTTTACAACTGTATCTACAGATCGTCCCCCACGCACTTGTATGACAAAGCACAAAACTTAAAAACCTTATGCATGTGATTTGAGGGGTGATTTTGTTTGGGCGGAGGACACAAGTGTTGGCCTTTTGTCTACGGTTTCGGTGGTGGAGGCCGGAAATCCTTCTTGTTGCTCGGTTGCTTCCGTTCCGGTTTTTAGTTCGTCGATGATGCGATGTCGCACCCCTGCTATGATTTTTGGGGTGGTGGTTCGCCACCCCCTTAAATGTCCTTCGTTTATCGAGGCAGACGGGGGAATATAACTTTTTGACTTTTTCAATTTGACTCTCTGTGTTTTGGGTCTTCCTCGACGGGTTACCCTAGGCGTAATAATGAAATAAGCGTTTCGCTAAATGCCTACGTATTTTGCAATGAGGGAAAGCGGGTTTGCTTGTCGGGTGGTGTGAGTGGATCTCATTCAATTAATTCGATGGGATTTTGGTTTAAGAGCTCATTGTGTGGGGAAATGAATTAAAGAGATACTACTGGCGGGGTAACCACAAATGTATTCAAAGAAAATTGTACATAAAAATAATACAATTTATTTATAGAAATATTAAATTAAAATATTTATAAAAATTATAGTTAATAAAACAAAATTGAGTATTGCCATATGAACGGAAGCAATTTTTTTTTTAATAGACTAAAAGAACCTTCAACCCAAAGGTATTGTTTTATAATTAAAACAAATTTTATTTAACAAAAATGAAAACAATTTAAACTAATCTATATCTACAATTTAACATAAGGCCTTGAAATTTAAGGTCACCAACTTTTCTCTTCTTTTTAAATTTAAAAACATTTTCAGCACCCAATCGAGTATTCATATGAACTGAAGACTTCTCTTGCCCCGCCTCCCAAGTGGTCACACCTGAGAGCATGGCCAAGTGGGTGGTGAAATCCGCCGCTCTTTTCCCCATAAGCTGGTGGAGATTGACTGCTCCACATTAATCAACGCATAAATTTAACGCATTATTATTTATGTTCCTCCCACTTGCGAGCACCGCGCGCTTGTTTCATTTTCGAAATAGAAATTGTTTTACAAATGTCACGCGTACTGAAACCAACCCCGGCACCTTCCATTCCCTAAAAATCTCTGCAATGCTGAACAAAATAAATGGCGCTAAAATGATTCAATTACCCAGAAACGGAAAAAGAGCAAAGAAAAACATTTTTTTTGTTTGGGGAACAGGTGGCCCGGCCAGGCGACAAATTCTTGGGCTAAAATTTTTAGACGTGTTTATTGGCGGGCTGCAGTGGGGGAGGGGGCGTGGCACACACCTGTGAAAATGTAATAAGCGAAAATAAGATTTTAATTGCCAGCGTTTATGGGTCGCACCGAATGCCATTTTAATGCCTTTCAGAAGTTTTTGCTTAAATTGATAGATTTTTGAAACTAAGTCATAGGATATATATTAAAGATCCTACGTTTTCAGGTACTATATTACACAATAGATTTCTTCAAGAGCAACAAAATGCCCCCTGTTCCTGAAATATTGCAAACTGATGTTCTAATTGCCGAGTGGATTCATTAGTTGGTTCTGTTGTTCTATTTGACTTCCTCCTAGTTTCAGTGAGAGCTTCGATTTCTAGCTACAATTGCCAGTTTCGATTCCTTGTTTGTCCTGTTCCCTGTCGTCTTTGGAATGGTGCGTATCCTGAGTATCTGTGTGCTTTCGCTTTGGTTGCATCCACTGGCAGGCGAGGCTAATGCGCAATTCCCACTTACCCATTACCCATCCCCAATTAATTCACGCTTCGTTAGACCCGAGGGAAGGAGAAGGATACTACAGGGTTATCCACTGCCCTTCCCCCAGCTTCGACTTCATCCTCCTTACTTTTTTTGGTCGGTTTACTGCACTTAATTTAATGTTGTGCTATTGTCAACGCAAGTAAATCAAAGTTGCGACTTTTATTTATGATTTCATTTATGCGCTTTACCATTAACTTAAGTGGTCTTACAAAGGATGGGGTTGTTGGGGAGGAAAAAATATAAAATAACCCTTTTCGAAATCGCATAAAATTTAAACAATATGGCATTATTTTAGAATTTTTAATAGCGTCATTTTAAATGGTAAAAAGTATTGTGATTTTCGTGAAATATTTTGTATTTTATCAGTTTTATTGTTGTAATATTTTGTATGAGTTTTATAAGATTTTTAAGATTATTTTTTTAAAAATCTCCATCAACTTTTCATAGTCAAAATTGTCCAGCTCTTTATAAACCCGATGAAGCTATCTATTTTCGTTTGTACGTCTAATGTAAGTCATAAGCTCGCCATCCTGCCCAAAAATGTCCCGACTAGCCAGTTCTAAATCAATTTAGGCGTGAACAATCAGCGCTGGTCCTATAAAAGGAAAATATATAGTTTCCTCGGGGCGTTCTAACATCTCTTTGTATCAAACTCTTTGTAAATGCTCCACTATTGCAACGATCCCACATACGACTCGTCAAAATTCCTGTGGACCATGTGCATGCAAGTTCAACGGTTTGGATGTGGAGTTCCAGTTCCCAGTTCCTGTTGTAAGACCAGTTCTCGCAGCGAAGGGGGATCTTGTCGAAAGCCCGGATCAGGCTGCAATTCCGGATCCTGCTGCAATTCCAGATCCTGCTGCGGACTATGTGGCCCCTGTGGGCAGTGCTCGAGTGGCTGTGCTACCTGCTGTACCTCCTGCTGTGGGATATTCCCCGAAACATGCTGTGGCCCGTGGTGTGAGTCCTGCCTGGATCCTGCCTGGTTCTCCTGGCTGGCCCCCAATATCTGCGGGTCCTGCTGCTTTGCTTGCATGCCCTGCTGTCGACCGAAGTGCTGCTGAGACTTAAATACTGGGGCATTTTTGTGGCGCTGGGGAATTTGTGGAGTATACAAAGAAATAAACTTTATTTAATAAATTCAATTGTTAAAAATTTAAATTTTAATTACTTTTTTATTTTCCAAAAATATTCTTGAAGAAACAAGGGTTAACTTTCAAAAATCTTAGTCTATCAGTTAAGAAAAATGTTTAGCTTAATTGGTATAATATTATTTTTTAGCCTTATTATATTAATATTTTTTTTGTTTATATATTGTTCTACAACATTAACATTTTTCCAAATAATAAAAATACTTTGTTTTATATATTTTTAAAAATCACATTACATTAAAATTTACTGTTACTTTTCAATTTTAAAATGGTTTCAAATATCTTTCCCTCTTACCAATCTAATAAACCTCACAAGCAGTTCACCTTAGCCTCGCAAATATACCCCTAATTGAATACGAAATACGAGAAAATACAATTTTGATACCGCAACTGGGTCGCCATATTGTAAAACTATAAAAAAGAACGGTATAATTCGTGCAAATCGCAAATCGTAAAAATTGCGCAAAAATTTCCTCGGCGTCGCGGACAGAACCGCAACAAATTGGGCCAAAAGGGCGAATTAGCCAGTGCGGCATAAAAAAAAACCGCATAAAGACGCACTTGCCGGGGATCAGGGCTAATAAAAAATTATAGATTTTCATCTTTGCATATTTAACTTTTATCGCGTGGCAGTTTTAGTCCGCTCATGTGTTTTAGGCCCAATTCAGGTTGGGCTTTGAGGTTGCCTTCTGTTGCGGATTTTTTTGCGGTTTTTATGCTGCCGCAACCTGAACGGGGCATAAAACAAATGTCATACTCAGGACCGAATCCGAATCATGTGTGCTACCTCAGCCTCTTTCTTCCCCGGCTATAAAGATGTTTCGTATTTTTGCATAATCGTCAATTTTTGATTTTAAAAATTCGACAGAATGGAAAAACAGAGGGGAGAGGGCAAACCGTATGCCTGCTGATGTTCTTTGGTCAACAATAAAAATTCATTTTTATAATCCCTACATGTGTTACACCATCAATAGCCTAGGTATAAATATTTATTACTATTTTACGATTGATTTAAGTTTGGATTTTCCTTACCTTTTAGGATGACTGCCCTTTAGCTTATTGGCAAATAATGTCATTGGAAGTCTCCCTACACTCAAAATAAAATTAACCCTAAAGTCAAAGAAATCGCCCTACTTTTGTCTTCAAGACAAACTCGCCCTAAATTTTAGGGTCACATTTTTCTATATTTTTGATTTTTTTTTGACGTCATATTTCTAAATTTTAGGGTAATTTTACTAAATTTAAGGGCAAAAATTTCTAAAAAGTAGGAAATTTTCCTAAAAAATAGAAATTAAAAACAAAACAAAAAAACATGTTCAATCATGATTTTTTTTTGTATATACGTTTATATTTTGTCCCTATATACATACAGCTGTGAAAAAAATAATAGCACCACTAACCCAAAAAAATTTTAACTAGTCACCCTACTCACATTTTTTATCTTTTTTAACTTTTCAAAACGGGTTTTAAATAGTAAGACTAAACATAATTTGAATATGAAAAAAAAATGTTAGCTTTATAAAAGGTTTCTGGACTTATTTAAGAAAATCCATGCAAAACTGGAAAAACATACGAAAAAAATAATAGCACCACTTCTCTAAAAATAGAATAAAAGGTAGAAAAATGACAAATGGGTAACTTAATCTTTAGTTGGCGGTAGCTAACAAGTAAATCTAAGTTTAAAGTGTAAATATCTTTTGCGATTTTTGGATATAATGACTTACTATCGATTAAACAAGTCAGGACCGTACCTATAAAGGAATTGGGGCCCAAAAGTCATGATATATTTTCAAATTTTGTTCGGAAATGATTTAAGACGTTTTAGATTAACTGTATAAACTGTCTTTAAAAAAAAACTCCAAGATTTTTGGCTGTGTTATGGTCAAGCGAGTACACAAGTCACTGTATATTGCTGACTGAGTACTTTCGAACTCTTTCTTTGCTATCCTGACCGTGATCCTGGCCGGATTTTATTGGTCAAAGATTCATTTAAGAAGTATTATGTATTCAGTTTAAGCTACGAATTACTACCGTATTACTATTTACATCATAGGATGATTCATGAACGATGTATTCATCCGTATTGATCTTACTTCAAGAAGGAAAAACAAGCCTATGTTAATACTAGGTCCATGCTCAATAAATGGATGTTTTGGTACCATGTTTTTGGTCAATTTAGGTGTTTAGAAGACACATGACTTATAAAAAGGATTTCTTCTTACCCAATTTAACTTTGCCTTCACACATTCTCATAAGTTTGCGGGCATTCATTTGTAAGTTTTTTTGACGAGCCCTATGCCCTTGTAAATGTGTTTCGCATTTCGGATAGGATTTTTTTTTTAAGTGCATGTTTTATAAATTTGTTTATTAAAGCATTATCCAACTATTAAAATATTCGCTATTATTTTAAGCACGTGTTTTAGTTTAGTTTTGGCCCTGATAAGATTCTTTGTGCTTTGTGATATAACATTTTAGAAGGAAAAATGGGCCAGGACTCGCTTTTTCTGTGTTATCCTTTAAAAGTTTATGCCATTTTTAATAAAGATGATCCAAGACCTAACAAATTGAGCCGGTTTTCATGACCGTTTTCCATCCAATATGTTTTTTTTTAATATTTTTCTTTTCCGACTTGAAAAATTTTTCCACATGTCCTTGTATTGCCAAATGGTAATCAATTTGATGTCTGGATATCAGTAAAAGTTAGTTTTAGTCAAATCTCATAGAATATATCCTTTATACACAAGAATATTAGCGCATCGTAACGTTTTATTTAAAGAAAACGGAAGTGGTGCTATTATTTTTTTCGGCCTTTTTTTGACTTTTTTTCTTAAAATCTGAAAAAATTATATGTAGACAATATTTTCGATATCCGTATCAATTTTTTCAAATAGGTGGAATACTAATCAAGATAATAAAAAACACTTCTTGTATAAAAATCCCCGTTTTCCACATATTTCTTTAATATTAAGAACCTGTGACGAAGTGGTGCTATTATTTTTTTCGCAACTGTACATATGCAGGCGTTGTGTGTCTTGTATATTGTGAATGTTAAAGGTTATGTATTTATTATTATGTATTTGCGCTTGGATTTCTTATCTAACCAAAGCCAAATGTGGTTGTAAATGTGGACTACGGGACTGCGGAAGATTGGGAAATGTAGAAATTATGATTAGTTAATATTTTATCTTCATGAAAAAAACTTACATTTTTACTTGTCCGTCGTGAGAATCGAACCCGGGTCTCCCGCGCGAGGAGCGAATGGCCTACATACTGGGCCATTGTAGCACTTAAATTTGATGTGGCAAACCGAGCATTGTATGTAAAGGGTCAAGCGGAGAATACATTTGAATACTAATTGCATAATTTTGACCATTCGCGTTTTACTTATTTACATACCTATATACATATGTATATATTTATGCTAACGCAATTTATATTATGTGTAGTATATAGTAAATAGCTGAATATAAACCAAATTATTTTCGGTTTACCGCTTGCCATCAATAAAAAAGGAATAAAAAAAAGAGTAAAAAAACAAATTTAAAAAAAAAACAATAAAAAAAATAAAACTAAAAAAAAAACTTTAAAAAAAAAGGTAAAAAATTGTTTGCTCTGGGACTCGAACCAGGGTCGTTTCGATTTCTAACCAAGCGCTTTAACCGTCTGCGCTACGAGTACAGCCGCCCGGCAGCTGACAAGTTCTGGCATTGAACATTTTGGTGTGCCAGAGCATGTGAAAACAACTATTTCTATTTTTTAGAAAAACTTCCTACTTTTTAGAAAATGTTTCTATTATTTAGGGTTAGCTTAATTTTAGGGTTAGGGCACTCATTTTTAGAAATGGTGCTGACAAAATATTTTATTATTTTCGTTTGCCTTTCTATTTTTCAGAAAATAATTTCTAATTTTAAGGGCATTTTTTCTAGATTTTAGGGTGATTTTAGTTCATGGTAACAATTTTCTACATTTAAGAAAAACTTCCTGGATTTAAGGAAAACTTTCTTGACTTAAGAAAAATTTCCTTAGATTTAGAAATAACTTTCTTGTATTTAGAAAAAAGAAATTTTAATGGCGATTTTCTAAAATTTAGGGTTAAATTTATTTTGAGTGTAAGGGCTCTAAAGGTTGATTCAATTTTAAAAGTTTGAAGGTGGAAAAGGTTAATGTTTCAATTTTACAGATTGTGCAGAGATTATTAATATACATTATTAAATATCTTAGAACTGGTATTCAAAATGGAATTATTTGACACAATATCAATCAATTAAATTTTTTTTTTTAGAAATATTACAAACTTTTATTATGGAACAAAAGTTGACCAAATTAAATACCTACATTTTAAAAATTATTATTAAACTATTCTTAAAAATTTAATTTGCTTATCTCAAGAGCAAGTAATCTATAAAATTAATCAAATGGAATCCAATCCATTAAAAATTCTTCAAACAAGAATAGCCATTATCATTATCTATTTCTACCATTTGTTATCCTTTTTAGGAACATTTCATAATAAATGATAGGCAGTCATGTCTTTGGCTATTACATAAAACGTAAATTATCATAAACAAATTAAAAAAGTTCGTGACGTGTCATTTGAAGAGGGGGAAAAGACCAGTTTAACCCCAAAAGACAACGACGCAGTTTAAGGCCCACTCGAAAGTAATAAGCAAAGCCCCGTGGGTGGTCCAGAGACCAGAACGCAGAACCCAGAACCCAGAGTCCTGAATCCCTGAATCCAAGCCCATCGGAGATGATGATGATGACTCGAGGGCCCGGCCGAGCACCAAACGGATATCCAATTGGAACCGGATCCGTGGCAGGTTGAGTGGTTGAGCGTTGAAACGGAAGCGGCAACACCCACTGGGCTGAAAGCGACCCACTGGGACTGGGATTTTAAATATAATTTGTTTGCCCACCATAGCCGGAGAACACCTCGCCCTCCTAAAGGGGTTGGTGTCTCGAGTGAATCTCAGCGGGGCCACCCAAGGGGATGCAGGGTGCGTTCCTGGG